AATTTGTCCTTCAAGAATCGATTGTACTTGACATAGACGAGGTCATTGAGCTTCTTTGATTCACGCCTGTTCTTTTTCTTTGTATGAACCTAACAAAATAAAATGAAAGTGAACTAATTAAAATCTAATATCTATGGTTCATGTATTATTTATAAAATTATACAAATTACCCTTATGACCTTACTCCTTCAAAATTACTCCAATTGCGCTCACAACCGGACGAAGAAGTGGTTAGGTTTAAGATCCGAATGGCCAACTTTTGTAAATTTGGAGAACTGTGGCCATGTTGGCTCCACCAATGGGCTGCAAAGAAATAAAAAAATCATAAACAAATAATAGACATACTTGATTACTTGAACAAATGAACTTAAGAATATTATTACTATAATAATATTTAATACCTGGATTAATTTTGGTCCTTTGCCTCATCGCCATTGGACTCCCAAAAAACTTTAATGACTACTTGTAATTTATCAGCTCATCAGCGCATATAATATCCTGCATTTCAAGATCAGGGACTAGCACCTCTACACACTTATTAAATCCATCCATAATTGTGTCATTTGTTTGTATATCCTTGTCAATATAAAACAAAGCTGGGTTAAAAAAATAACTAGCTGCATACAATGGCTGATATAGCTGCTTATCCCACTTCTTATCAATAATCTCCCAAACAGGCTTATAGCGGGTTTCTTCATCATTGAAATTTTTGGCTATCTCTCTGTTGCATTTCTCCATAGTATCATATATATGGCCCATAGAAGGCTTGTCACTATCAACCATGCGAAGGACTAGGAAAAAATACCTTAAGAACGTCCTTCACCCCTCGCCAAAAAGCCTTAGAAAGAATTATTATCTCTCACCTTCTTCCCAACATGAGCCTTAGACTACTTGCATGCTCTCCACTCATTCGAGGTAAACATTTGCCTCAACTGCACTCTCCTCGAATGTATGCTATCTAGGCATAAGTATCAGGTCGCAAATCTCGTGACCCAGGCCTCACAATCTCTTTCTTCTTTGTAAAGGTACGCATCATGCTGAGGGTGATATGGTGGCTATAAATGAAATTCGTAACATACTTGGCCTTCTTCATTGCACTTGATGTCTCGGTTAAACTGCCAAGAGCCTCAAGCATGAGGTCTATACAATGTGCTGCACATGGTGTCCAAAAGATTCTAGGATAAGCTATGTGCAACAAATTAGATGCAGCAACATTAGGAGCAGCATTGTCTGTGACAACCTGTACAATAAGGTGCTCCCCAACCTCCATGATTCCCTTCTCTATCACTTGAAATATGTAATGGGCATCTTGGATATGATTAGAGGCATCAATAGACCTCAAAAAAACAATCCCTACTGGACAATTCACAAGCAAATTCATTTGACTTCTTCTCTTCCTATCACTCCAAGCATCAATCATAAGAGAAACCCCATACTGAGCCCATGCATCGTTCTTAAGTTGTATAGCTTCCTTCGTGGCACTCACTGCCTTTTTTAAAAAAGGCTCTGAAAGCTCGTATGGGGTTGGGGGTTTCAGCCCAGGGCCAAATTGGCCAATTGCCTCTACTGCAACATAAAAGCTGCTCAAGCGAGCGGTATTGAAGGGAATGCCCGCCTCATAAAACCATGTAGCCAAATAATACGCAGCTCTATGTCTCTCTTCCTTTTTGGTTCTATTTTCAATGGTGGTTTGCTTTTTTGTTTTCTCTCCTGTAATCTTAGGGTTAGGCCGAGGTAAGAAACTGTACATAGGGCCTCTAACCCGAGGCTTCTTAGTCCGAGAACCAAAAGCAATTACAACTCCCTTCCCCTTTCCCCTAATAATGGATTGCTCGACCTCTTGACATCGCTCCCCAATCCTTTCCTCATCACTATCATCATCATCAAAATTGACTCGAACCCCAGACCTAATCTTTGCTATAGAGGCAAATCTCTCATCTTTTTTCATTTTCACCAAGTTCATAAAATTCTTTATTTCCTCTTTAACAGCATCAGGAGTTTTTTTACATGGGGTAACGTCACCCTTGATACCGACAAGATGTTTCTTGAATTGGTTTATGCCCCTTTTTGTATTCTTTTCACAAAAATTGCATCTTATGCCATTTTATCATTAGGATCTGAGTTATAGCCATATTTCCAACTGGGATCACCACTCCTATTAGATCCCGAAGAAGACATCTAAAAAATAATACAAATTACTAAAGCAATAAAAAAAATCACTTATTTTGAGTTTGATTGCGCAATCTTCAAACTTCCACCTCAAAGATGTGTCTAAATATTTAAAATCTTCTAAAACATCCCCTAATAACTTTTCAAAACATCAAAAAGTAAATATAATACCAATGGGTGATGTTTTAATCAATTTTGGATAACTTTGAATAACCCTTCGTTCTTAAAAAATTCACCACAATCTAGTTTTTTAGTGGTTTTCTCTCTCTAAATTTGGCTCAAACAAGGTTTAGGTTTCAAATGAACCTAAAACCCTAATTTTTGGGCCTTAAAAACAAAAAAAAGGAGTAAAATGGCCTCACGGATTAGTTTTTTGCCCCTGGGTGGGGCGCAGGCCCTAGGCGGTCGCCCAAGGCTGGGCGCTAGGTGGCCGCCTAGGCGGGTTCCGTACTACCTAGGCGGCCGCCCAGGGATTGACCGCCCAAATTGGCCACCTAGGCCTTGGCGATGCGCCCAGGCCTTTGGGACCTCCTAGGCGGGCCGCCTAGGCGCTGGGCAGTCCGCTTTTTGAATCATTGGTCCTTTGTAAGGGCTTTTGTTCATGGATTTACCAAGTTCTGGTTTGATCGTACATGGAGTGCTAATATGTCTCCGTCTTTAATCTTAAGTCTGAACTGACTATGTCTCAAACGAATATATCTGGATTTTCCATAATAAATCTTACTTTTCGGTTAGTATACTGCAGATTCACAATCACAACGTATTAAAACTGCATACATGGGCCCTTGAATAGGTGGACATCTGCCAACAAGTTCCTTAGCCACTCAGCTTCTTTACTAGCGGCTTTTAAGGCAATTAACTTTGATTCCATCGTGGATTTGGAGATACAAGTCTTGTGCTTGGTCAGTTAACTTCATTAAATTTTTTTTTTTCTTGGAGCCCCATGCAACGACCACCCCACCAGGATCCATCAACTAGTGGACATGGATTCATCAATATCTATAAGCCAATGTGCATTGCTATATCCTTCTAATACAATGGGCTCGCCCACATAATTAGGCCATATTCTATGGTTCCTTTGAGATATCTTAGGACCCTATAGACTGCATTCCATACTCGTGACCTAGTTACTGGAATATCTACTCAGTTTACTCTTGGCAAAAGCTATGCCAGGTGTAGTAAAAGGCAATGCAAACATTATACATTGTTAAACATTGGGGCCGCTAGATCACTTAACAATATCTTGTAGTATAAAATATAGTTATATACTGCACTACTATACAATGAAATATATGACAATATTATGCTATATTGTATATACCAAATTCTACCAACTATATTATCTATATGCTACTGTATTTAACTCTATTGTATAGAACTATATACTATATGCAGCCATACTATAGTATATACTACTGTAGTGTGCCACCCCGCTAGACTATACTATATTGCTATCCTAATTGCTACTGTACTATACCATTTTGCTATATTATATCATACTAAAATGCTAGGAGAATCTGGATCCCATGATTCAGGACCTCGATCCCTAATAGGAAGGAACAAGATTCCAAAATTTAAGAATTAGAGGGACAAAGCCCCCTATCTTGGAGTGTGGGATTGGCATTCCAGAGCGGAATTAACTCTATGTAGGTGAATTCCGGTAATTATGGTTCCAAGAGCATTTTCAATCATTCCTTGACTCCCTAACATTTTATAATTAGGCATGGAAACTGAGAGATGGATATTGCCCAATGGGAGCATAATGTACTAATTCTGGGTTCTAGGACCTAACTATTTCCTTTTTGTAGTCTTCTTGCGGTTCGCACATCGAGTACAAGATGTGCTGATAACCAGAAATTTGAGTTCCGGAATATCATTTCTTGCTTCCTCAAAAATAAAAAATCAAATCTTGGCTTGCTACAATTCCTATCCTTGTACATGGGTGCAGACTGCAGATAGCAAAAGCCTCAGTGCCAATAGCAATCCCCTTTAGAAATCATAGCCATCTCTAGAGTCCTGCAGTCTGAATCTCTCTCCCATTTCGTTATAGATTTAGAATTTCATTGTTTTTAATGCTTCTGTCTGAGTTCCTTTTTGGGGTCAGTCCCATGTTTTGACACTTGACTCTTTGGTTTCCTTATGGGCAGAAATCCATAGTGTCCCTGCTTCTCTCCTTTGTTCTCTGGTAGAATGAATGGAGCTTTTATAGTTATACTGGAAAAGAGGAGATCAAGAACAAAGCTCTATATCTTAACCAAAGAATGAAATTAACTTCCCCCTATTGGCCTGTACTATGTCGAACTGATTTATTATTTGGTAATGTGATTTTTCTTATTGCCAAATTGTCTATTGGTTGTTAGTGTTTTCTTTTCCAATATCCAAGTTTTATGAGTGTGGATTATTTGGGGCATTCTCGCTCGTAAGCCATGTTATATTTCCAGCATCATTCCCTATTGCTTTCCCCTCCCTTTGCACTAGATGAATAGATATCCTGTGAATATGATCATGGTACCCAGTTTTCTTCTATAACTGCTAAGGATCATTAATTAACTACCCATATCATTTAATGATGTTCATGATGTTTATTGGTTGATGATTTTTTTCTCATTTTTCTTCCCAGTGTTCTCTCAGGGAACAGCATGGCCAAGAGCAATTGATAGCATGTTATTATGCATATTCCTTGAGTATCTTTTCCTATTTTATACATCTCTTTGCCATTATCTTTGATGTTTGAATTTATTATGATACTATGGTTTATTTCATGAGATTTACTCCCTTAGGAAATGTTCTCATGTTTGTTTTATATTGAAATTAATATTTTATTCTTCCAGTAATCCTGGGGCTTTAGTAGAGCAATTGAAGGATGGCACAAGGGTAATCCCTCAGCCCGTACAGCAACCGGTGCGAACAATCCAGCCCCAACATCAAGCATTCTTACAAGGACAGCAGGTGGAAAGACAAATAGCTACCATGTTTTTGTTTTACAATGAAGTTATATTTTCAATAAATTTTTTTTTTTCACTTTTATCAGAAAAGAAAAACATTTCTTGTTGGTTGGTGGGTTGTAAGAAATGGTTCAGTAATCCTTTTGAGCATCTCTTACAACTTTTCTCTTTGTGTTTTTGTGATATATTGTTACAATATTTCAATCATGCTAGATAGAATAAATGAGAAAGAATGTTCATCCCAAAGCACTCAGTTTGAACTGGTAAAGAATGGATAGGTTCACCTTTTCTGTATATTAGCTCACACAAGTTATTGCGAGTGTTTATTGTCATCAGTCAATTTAGGTTTTTCAATGGACACCTCTCAAATGACCATCAAATCTTGCTCTAATCCATTGTAAATATTCCTTTGATTTGTGACAAGAGGATTTGTTTGTTTCGCACACAATTTTCTTTGGTGCCAATATTCTGGAGATTGATGATTTCATCTTTTACATGTAAAATGACATTTGTTTGCATATGATGTGAGCAAAACTTTATATATACTATTTTAAAATGACCCAAGTGCCCATTTTAGGGTCTCCATGCCGCATCTACAAACATGGATGATGGGCATTAAGAAAAAAGTTGATAGTGTGTTTATGTAGTATAGTCTTAATTATCACTGATAATGATGACCTAAATATAACTTTTAGTAAATAAATGATATGGGGAAGAATGAACTCTTAACAATCTAATTGGCTGAATGCATTACAAATGAGTCTGTCATGTTCACATGATTATATATTTTCATATGATTTTATATATTCAAAAGCAAAAAAGGAATTGGATGACCTATATATGTACATGTCTTTGCCATCGATTGATCATCATTTGCTTCTATTGAACAGCTATTCTCCTTATCTCCAGAGATATTAGACCTGGACAGTGCATAAATGCTAGTGACACTCACTTTTGGGGAAATTTTATATAGTCTTATGGAAAATCACAATCAATTGGAGTCGTAACTAATGGATGGTAGAACGGAAATATTGGAGCCTACCAATGGGTTCATTTCCTCTTTTTTTTTTTTTTTTGAGTGAATGGTTCATTTCTTCATTTGATGGTTTCCTTTTTCTCACCATGACCATGCATCATTTCATTAGATGATCATAAGAGTATGATACTACGAAGTTGAAAGATATTTGTTGTATGTCTATAGGGGCGGCAATGGGTCAGGGTGGCCCGGCTCCATCAGGTCGGCCTTAAAAAACTAGGGCCCGGGCCACAGAGGGCTGAGCTAGGGCTGGGAAACCATGGCCTAAGGGTAGGGTTGGGTTGGGCCTACCAGCCCAGTTTGGCCCAGCTTGACCCTACTTTCCTTAATTTTCCTTTTATTTATTTATTTTATATAAAAAAAAGAAGAAAAAATGCCAAAAAGAAATATAAAAAATAATAGGAATAGAGACGAGAAAGTAGTTAAAATTGACGATCAATAAATACCAAAAAAAGCCACTTTCAATATCTTGGGTTGATAATCCAGGAAAATGGAAAGATTGAGGAAGATGTCGCACATAAAATTAGAGTTGGGTGGACGAATTGGAGATGTACAATCAGAGTTTTATGTGATCTCCGCATACTAATGAAGTTGAAGAGCAAGTGACAACTGTGAGATCCACTTTGCTTTATGAGGCGGAGTGTTGTGCGGTCAAAAAACGACATATATCCATAGAATGAGTATAGCTGAGATGAGAATGTTGAGATGGATGAGTGGCAATACAAGAAGGGATTGAATTCGAAATGAATACCTTCGAGAGAACTTAAGTGTGGCTCCAATAGGCAATAAGATGAAGCTGAAGACCTGGGGTTGTGGCCATATAAACTTTCGCATGATGATCTCTATGCAAAAAAGTGTTTTTCACATCCAGCTAATGTAAAGACTAAGATTTTGGAGCCAAAGAGAAAGTGATCCTAACAGTATCTACTTCGCTACTGGGCAAAAGTCTCTTTGTAATCTATACCTTGTGACTTTGAAAACCTTTTGCACACCAACCTCACCGTGTATCTTTTAATCATGTTATATGCCTTGTATTTCGCTGTAGACATCAGTGTTTTAAAATGCGGCTGCATAAGCGGCGACATCATGTGGGATGCGCTCGCATCCGCATCCCGTTTAGGCGCATATGCGCTTTTGACAGATGCGGCCGCATATGCGCCGCATCAGGCCTCATCTCGCTCTCATCTGTTTCCACGAAATTTTTTTTTGATTTTGTCCCTCGGGGAGGGGCAAAATGGTCTTTTTTTGTTCCAATGTTTAGGGAAACTGTTTGGGGGGTTACTATACCCCCTAATCGAAGATTTTCTGCCACTTTTGTGGCTTTTTTTGCATCAAATCAAAGAAAAAAAAAAATTTGGCGAAATTTTTTTTTTCATCCAAATCTTCAATATGGCGATTGTTTGATACTTGGATGTTCATTTGATGCTTTTTGTTGTTGATTTGGGGATGTTAAGGTGAATTTGTGATAAGAAATTGGGGATTTCAGAGGCCGTGAAGAAATCGAGCACTACTTCACAGAGTCGGTAACTTTTTATTCCTTCTTGTACAATAATACTGTTATAATTATTTTTGGGGCAATGTCTTCTTCCCAATCTTCTAGTAACAAGGATCCGGCTTGGAAATATGCTAAACTAAAAAATCCAAAAGATAGAAATTGTGTGATATGCTTGCTCTGTGGAAATACTTATATGGGTGGTATTTTTCGACAAAAAGAGCATTTAGCCGGAATTTTTGGGAATGTAAGAGCATGATCACAAGCTACAGATGATATAAAAAAGGAGATTAGAGAATATTTGGATAGATTGAAAAAAGATAAAGAGGAAAAAACAAGAAAAGAAAGGAATCACTTGATGATATGCAATTATTTGATGATGTTGATGATGATGATGATGATGATAATATGTCTGAAGTTGCTATG